CTATTACTTACATTAACCTTAAAGAAAAAAATAAAAGTAGAAAATGCAGAGGGTAGCAAACTCACTTATAACTGCAGGTTATATTTTAATTAGCGCTGTCAAACTATAAAAAAATGCTTAATTGATTAATCACAATTAATCATGATTGATCATGATTAATGTTTTAAATTTGACAACAAAAAACTTTTTTCTGTATAGTGTATTGCAGGAACACAAATACCAATAACAAAGCTGTACATGTATGACCATTATTCCATATTTGAATGCATATAATGCAGACAATGCAAGATGTGTTCAAAAACTGTACATTTGAAATGCATTCCTGTTTTTTATTTGAGCAAATCAGGAAAAAAAAAAGTAAAATCAACCAAGATAGTCTGTTGTTCCTTCAGCCTTAATATGGCTTTTCACAGACAAGTCTCTCCCTTGTCATAACAGGAACACATGGTGTGACTAATAACACTGAGCTGCTTTACGCTAGTATTCCAATAAGCCGTGACATTGTGACAGGGAGCCAGCGAGCATGATGACAGGATCCTGAAACTAAAGTAGCAGAATGGAATTCAACCATCACTCAATATTTATTTATACATGTGCTTTTTCTATTATGACATGTCAGCAAGTCTTTTGTTACCACTGCCATTTTGGTGTGAGTTGATCTTGTAATAAAACTACAGGGAGGTTCTGATCAGCAGACTGTCACTAAATGACCAGTGATGAATGTGGAACCTGAGACCGCACCAGGGAAACTGCTAGATAAATCCATCCAGTACAAAGCACGTCTGGAATATGTTCATATCAGTCATACATACGTGCCAGGGGACCTGCTGTAAATGGCAGCCCACAAAAGACCCCAGGTTAATAAAACCGGCTTATCTGTGAAACATGAGTTAGCACAGGTGACATACTGCTGCAAAACCTTGGCCAGCGAGGAAACTGTCACACTCTAATTCATTTATGTGAACATTGCATCATCAGAAAATCATTGCGTTTTCTTTTTGGATTGGAGAGTGTATGATGAGAACACATACACAGCAACACTGAGCCACTGTTGTCTTTACAGCCATTTCATATGAAATCAATACAACACTAAACAACCATTGGCTTAGACTGGCTTATGACTCTCCAGTATAGATCAGACTTGTGTTCACACCTAGTTGTGTGGTCTGCTGAGTAAAGAAAGAAAATTACATCTCATTTTGAAGGAAGACTGAGTCAATTTTTTCACCTTGGGAATCAGTTGATGATGTAATGCACTCTCTCTGTGTGTAGTCACATGCTGATGCTTGATCAATGTCAACTTCTCTGTGAGCTGAGACTGATGAACATCTAAAAAAAATATCTAAGCAAGGACTTACTATACTTTTTTTACCAAAACAATACAAGTACTTTGATTCATCACAAATCAAAATACTTGTATTGTATTGTTTGCTGATACCAAGTACCAATAGTGTTCAATAAATCAAGGGTGTCCAAATTTTTTAGCTTAGGAGCTACCTGACCAGGCTAAAGTAACCTACCTACATTCAAATGTTAAATATGTTTACTCATATAAACCGTACATCCATGATATATCAATTATATGTTGCGGTACTTTTATTTATATATATGTGGCACAACTGTGGAAAAAGGGGAGGATGTCACATTGAGGACATAAGTAACATTTTTATGAATAGTTTCCACAGCCAACTGAGCAGAAAGCGGACAGAGCTTTAACATCAACATTGTATTTCTATTGAAAACACTGTTTGGTGTCTGTCTGATGAACATAGTCATTGAGGAGCACTGTTTCAGTGGTGTAGTGTAAACTCCCCATCTAACCACTGTGCCTCTAATGAGAAGAGGTGTCTTCAGGTCTTTATTTAACTGCTCGTATCGTAAAATAACAAGTCTTATAATAAGAACTGCCCCTGCCTTAGTGCCTGATGTTAAAATTCCTCCAAACTGTTGACATCATTGACCTTCTTAAATAATCAAACCATAAGGGCAACGAGACACTGAACTGCAGTAGGGAAACAGTTCTGTTCCACCAGTTAGCAGGCGCTTTATAAATCAATATATCTGCAAAGATAACATTGTAACAGCCACCAGCTACATTTACCCACTGATTTAGATGCGTCATAATATGAACTTCAAGTGGTCAATAGTAAATAAGATTAAATGAACTACTGAATAACTTGTTAGTGTAAGAATTTGATTAAATTAACTAATTTATATATTCATATTAAATTCAACATGCAGACTTATATCAGTCCTGTTTAACACAATGGATTAATACCAGCTCAGCGATGCATGCAGGAACAGACACTACCTGCTGTATGTCAAAACACATAATACCAGAATTTAATACCACAGCAGATGTGTTTGCATGACTTGGTTTCTATGCTCCATTTTTCTCTATTTTTTTTTTTTTACCAAACCTCTCCTTCACAACACAAAGGTAGCATTTTTTTATGTGTTATGTATTGAATTCTTCCCAACACGCCCCTGCCCTCTGCTGCAAGCGGGTCAAGCATATCTCTCAAACCACTGCTGAGTGAGCACTTGGGGGTAGGGTGGAAAGACAGAGCACAGATCATAAAGGCTGGCCAATTATCAGCAGAAAGAGGATGCTGGGGAGGAGTGAGAGATTATGGAGAGAATGGATCAATACACCAGTCCGTTTCTAATGAGGGAATGAATTGGTTCAAGTAAAGCAGATGGAATTCCTGTTCTGCCTTGGGGTGGTCTTCCTGCACTGTCTGTTAACACAGTAAAAGCTTCTCTGGTGCTTATTTGTCCAACTGCACTTCAACAGGGGAACGACTGCTATCACAACAGATCGGTGACATTCTGTGTTTTCAGCATTTATGGCATTCTGGCATAAATGTCACAGTGTTTCCCTCATGCTTTCCTTATCTACCCACATTACTGCCTTCTCTAAATATTTCACACATCACCAGGGGCAGATTTAGAAGAGCGTGAAGAATAATAGCTGTCTGTCCTTCACCATCCCCCTCTAACCACCCACAGCTGCCAGCACAGGACAGTAAATCCTACACCTCACCCACTCAGGCAGCCCAGCACCTCAGCTGTGTGCTAATATGAACAAGCATAACACACACATCTCTGCACTTAGAAAAGAAAGAAAATGGTCTCCAAATGCAGCACAATAAACAACTATTAGCTGCTGCCTTTTTAGAACATGTGCAGTTATGGATGGACTGACCAACTGTTCAATACTGTTACATGTTGTTTGGTAATGTTGCTCTTTCATTGTTGCTTCCCCATTTTCTACATTTCCCTTTCTTCTCACTGAGGGGCCTTGTGTAGGGTGGGGGGTGTTATTTATGGCTGCTCTAGACACACACACACACACACACACAAATAGAACCTTTCACAGGATGAAAGGGCAGTCACACTGCCTGCAAACATGATTTTACAGCCCTGGGTGGAACGAGTGGTGGAAGAGAGAATAAGAAGAGGGGAGAAAGGGGGGAAAGCTCTTGGATTTATGGTTCCCAGTAGTCGGAATTCAAACCATGCAGCAGCATACTTTTTAAGTAGTTTTATTCGTGTCCAAACTACAAAAAAAACCTTCAGAAAATAAGAACTGCTTCATAATCCAAATTGGGAATTATGATAAAGCGCAGTCAAAGATTCACAGAAATACAAGTTCTACATCCACAAAAGGATAATATCACTTTTCCACCACATGAGACCACTGAACATGTCTGTTTGGCCTTGTGTGAGAAGGCTTTTGCAGAGGGGCTGTTCAATGATTAGCTACGTCTGTACTGTATGGTATATAATATACTACACCAAATACACAGCTTTAGTGTGCACTATTCTGAGAGATGTAACTATTTCTATAGTGTCTACATTTCTTGCAGGCGAGGCTGCAGATTCTAGACGTCATACTAAAGGAAGAAAGAAACAAATGCCATAGTCTGCAGAGGTTCTGGCTCCTACAGGTCCTGTTATACTAATATGTTCAGAAGAAGGCAATGTGACAGAGAGCAAGGCAACCAAATTCAAAATAAAAATTAAATTAAAATAAAGTATCGTCCTTTGTTAGGCTCCTTTGTCAAAAGCACGGGGACACATTTTTAGATTTGATCTATTTTAAAACATAACTCCAACAACCTCTTAGAACAGAATGATGAAACCTGGTACATCTAAAAGGGCGGACATTGAGATAGTTTGATATTTTTGTTAATAAAGGAGGTGCTGATTGATGTTCTGGCATTTGACTGCTCAATGAATCAAGTAATTGTCTTCTAGTAAAGGCAGAGTATTTAATGTCATAAGACGTGTTCAGTGAAACAAAGACAGAGGAGTGTCTCCCAAAGACAGAGGGAAAACAGCAAGGTAATTGAGGCTAAATCTGTGTTCCACTGGCAGCAAATGGAACAGACTGACTCAATTTGTAATGGCTTAATCGGCAGTGGGAAGTTTTTTACACGGTAAAACTGCAATTAATTAACGCAAGTTGGCGTAAAGGCTCAAATAAACAGTTTATGAAAATTAGCAGTGCTGCCGATGGAGCTGTGCAAACTCACACGGTGTAGAATCCATTGTTACACTTTGGTTGAGGAGGATTTCTCACTCTTTCACCAGTGATGTCGTCCTTATCTATGAGCCATAATAACTTCATGGCTTTACATCGGCCTGAACTCTTCATATCACAGGTTATTACAGTGAGAAGTAACTGCAGCAATGAAGCTACAACTGTGGTGAATACTGCCTCTAGTGAGAATAATGTGAAAATTATAGTGGGTAGGTAGTTGTTCAATAATAGGTGTGGCCTGCCCTCTGTTGGTCGGACTCAATATTGCAATGACTTCTACCCTTAACAATGGATTCATCAGTAAAGTAGAGCTTTGAGCAGCAGAAAGTCTGTGTGTAAATAAATAAAAGTGCAAAGCTATTATTGTATAGAAGTTTTATTTTACTTGTCTTACCTTATTATCTGATTTCAGTTCATTAGAAAGAAATGTAACATGTACCACTTCACTGACCTGCTCTTTGAACTGCTCCTGGGATAAGCAGTCAGTCATGTGAACACATCCCAACAAGCAGCCAGTGGGGTAGTCTTTGGGAAACCTGGTCTCTGTGCAGAAAACAAGACGCAGTGAAAGAACGGTCAATAACATGCTCACACCGGCTTCAAGCAGTCAAAAACTGCAATATTTTAACCCTGACGATTTACTACTTCAACCTTTTTTATATATTTGTTGATACATTGCTTCCACCTCAGCAACTTCCTGAGGAGTGGGCTTCTTAGCAGCAGCAGCGATCCAAAGACGGCCTCTGTGTGACGTGTACCAAGTCCGTCCTTCTACCCTTGAAACACACACAAAACACATTTGATACAGTTATACTGTTACAATTTCTCCTCAGTCTTTGAGCAAGGGAAATACTGAACATTTTGAACGACCCCAAGCGGGCCAACAGGTTACAAATGATGCCTCCAGTGGAGAATGTCAGCACACATATGCAGGATGTTTTGGCTTGATTTTTGTGCGGTGACAGAAAAACAAACAAACACACCATTTGTCACACATCCACTGCTAACCTCTTAATGCCTTTGACCAGCAGTGAGGCCCACGGCTGGTGCATGCTGAGGCACCAGCCTCCATCAGAAATCTCCTGCAGCTCCTTGTCTTGAAGGCGCAGCCTGTTTCGTTCTTCACTTCCCTTCTCTTCTACCAAACTCTTTTTCTGATTCATGATTCCTCTGGGGGTTTCACTTGTTCTGATATTAACCCACTAATTTTAGTGGGTGGATTCAAAATGTACAGGTAAATTTCATGTGCTCTAATAAAAATAGCCAATAACTCATCCGCAGATGCAGAGAAATATCAACTAGGACGTCCTACCTCTGGTGCATCTTGCAATATGTTGGGATTGACCAGCCCCCGGATGTTGTGCTTTCCACTTTGTCTGTCAGTGTGCCTTGGAGACTTTGACATAGTGTCACTGCCCTTAGCAAACTCATCCAGCCTGTAAATCGAACAAAAGTCAAAAGAAAATAGTCTTTAGTTGAGAAAATACCACATAAATCTGTCTTCCATTTGAGTGCAGCGTGATTATTTTACTTGTTATAATACTCCGTGAGGTCGTTTCCTTCATCAATCACTTGTCTACCAGCAAAGTCCAAGGTAATCTTCCTGTCCTTGCGAGAGGCGTGGCGGATCGCTCGGAGCTCCTCTTCTTTTTTTATCATTTTTTCACGTTCACCAGGTGACAACCACTGGTTAGATTCCGCAGCGAAGTAATCAGACTCGTCATCAAGAACCTGTGTTCTCCGGACACTGCAAATCAGAAAACAAAATCAGGAAAAAATATCCTTCAACAGAAGTCTTTTTCTGGACTGTGTGTTTTTCTACAGTTTACCTGTTTTTGTCATATTCCAGCAGTTTCTCTTTATGTTGAACAGCTTTCTCCAACCCAGCCTTGATCTTAGCCTCTTGGTGTGGGAGGATGTCTCTTTCTCCAAAGTCTTTCAGTAACAAGAGAAAATTCATTATCTTGCTACAGTTCCAAATTCATCTAATTCTGGCATTGGTTTTTATTTAACTTTTGTCTTTTAATTCTCACCTCCCATGAGTTTCTTTCTCAGCTTCTGGCTTTTGTTCGAGTCTCTCTGTAGGATCTCTTGCTCCTCTTTTGTGCAGACCTTAATCAGAATAAAACCTTAGGTATAAGCGCCATATGATGTCATATTAAAATCCAAAGAATCACAGAAATAAGGAGTGTAAATATTTCATACCAGGCTGCCACAGAAGAGACAGGGTCCTGAGCCTTCTTGCTCACACACAATGCGACCACAGCTGATACAATTGTTGATTAGTGTATGCTTTTGAGCAAGGCACTCACAGGAATGTCGACCAGGCAGAAGGACGGCAAGCTTGTCCTGTCCCTCTTTGGCATAAAGACTCACAAATTTGTTCTTTTTCTTTGATGATGAAGAACTGTTAATGTTTTCTTGGGCCTATGAAAGCAGTAGATACAGTATTGTTTGAAACAAGTCAGGTGGTTTAATGTGCTGTCAGAGATTTCACCTTGATGTAAATGAACTTAATGTGTCATTATTGTATTAACCAACAAAGAAAGACCCACTGAACTCAAAGAGAGACCCAAACCATGTGTACTCACTCTCATCAAATCAATGGGGGTTTTGACCACTTCTGGTTCAGGTTCTGTTTGGTTCACACTCAATGCTTCCTGCCTGTTACGACCTTTGCGTTTAGACTTCTTCTGTGTGTCTTTAGTCTGGTCCTGTGGATCTAAGAAAGGAGTAAATATGAAATCAAAATTCAGATGACATTAAAAAACATGTATGTATCTATCTATCCATCCATTTAGCCATCATCTACTACTTATTCCTTTTCAGGGTCGAAAGGGCACCCAAGCCAATCCCAGCTATCACCGACTCACCTTTATACCTATCGTCAATTTATAGTGTCCAATCAACCTACTCCCCTAACAAAGCACACACGGTGAGAACATGCAAACGCCATAGAGAAAGATCAACCAGGAATAGAAACCAGTGCTCTTCTTGCTCCACAAAAATAAGGAAACTTCACACTTGACATATTGCCACAAGTAATATCAGTGCATGTAGCTATGAAAAGTGCTCAGATTTTTTTTAATCTTACCAAAAGGAAGAGATTCTTTAAGAGGAAAGATAGCCACAGGATCTGGAGATCTTTGGGTCCTCTTCCATCTGCTGAGGAGCTGGTCTATGAAGTGCCTTTTCTTACCATCTGCACCCTGCAGAAGGTCTATCAAGTATTCCTCGATCTCTTCCGCTGATTCGATGGACAGAATGTATCTGGATGACAACACAGTGACTTTGGTGTAGTACTGTAGTACAAAGAAGGATATGCTGTCCTTATTGGGCTACATTTGGTCACTAGTCTGGGTAATTGTGTGCATCACTGCTGCTAAACTACCCTGTGTATGTTTGCAGGTTTACTCACTAGATGATGTGAAAATTACAGTATACTAGTAGAAGGCTTTCAAGCACGCAGCTTCTTTTGCCGAGAATGATTTAGAAATCAAGCTGAATATTTTAGGTGGTTTGAACGCACTATCAAAGGAGCAAAAACAATCGCATCTTTAGGAGTGGGAGGAGTCTTGGCAAATATTACCGCTATAACTAAAACTCTTGCATTTAAATACTTTTTGTCTGTTGGGTTATATCGAATGATTTGTTTGTTATCACCATTGTGGTGCGTGACAGTGTGTTTGATGTTGTGATGTCCTGTCATTCGGCTTTCTCGTACAATGAAACATAATCAGACTGAACACAGAAACAACAACAACAACAGTAAACTACGTATGCTGTACAACTGTAATGCGTTTTTGTCATTTTGTTATGAATTAATAATGTGCATTCATGTAAATGTGTATTTTTATTGGATGTTATTATATAATGACGTGAGTGAGACACTTCTTATATCAGTTATTTCTTATATATGTATAAATATGTATTTATCTATCTTTGCATAAACAGAGGTGGATAAATATATTTCAACGCGTCTGGAACTAAAACTGAAATAACACATAATCGTATGTGACGTATTTACTTTGAACACGTTTCCCCATCACAGCATGACACAGTAAAGGCCTCCTATACGCAGTCGGAATCATTTACTTTCTCATTCGTTTCTTACTTTATGATGTCTTCACATGCTTCCAGTCCGAACTGATGGTGTAACTGATCCAAGCACCACTGGAGCAAAGCGTCCGACATTCTCATAAAGAATGACTTTAAACTGTCAGACGAAATGACAGCGAGAAGCTTCGGCAGGAACGAATTTCCATCCGGACGAATAACCACGTCGCACACATTGAGTGTCAACACAAAATCTGTTCCTGTAAAACACAACTGAGGAATAAAGGTTCCTGGCTTGTTTTCACGGTTATTTTATTGTTAGTTATTCAAATTTGCTTGTGTGTATGATAATTATAGATGCCCCCCCCCCTCCCCCCCCAAATGTTATATATTGTAAATACGCGTGTTGATGTCGGTGTCTGTTTAAACTGTGAAGCACAGGGAAATTCACCATCACCATCATTTATTTTATGTTCACAATAATCTGGTATTACCCAAAATAAGTCTCTCTTAAGAAGGTAATCAGAATATTTTTTGTATTAACACACTGAGTCACTGGTGTTGTTGTGAGTTATGATTTGTAATTTTGTCATGAGGAGCTAAATAGGGAATGAAAAGTAAACTCAAACACACGTGATGCAAAGACAACACAGACGACAAGAAATAAATGTTTATTAGCTGAATGTTACAGTTTTAAAAAACAAAGCCTATAAAATCCTTGTGTTGTCCTAATAAGAAAATTATTAAGAAAAAAGGTAAAAGCAAAAACAAGGTTACATTAGTTCTGTGGTGGCATCAACATCACTGCCCTGGTTTGAATTTAGTATTTTGCACAAAAGATTTAATGAAACAGGAGATATTGTGGCATATATCATACATGGAATACTAGTGAGTATCTTCACTTGATAAACTGTCATAAGTACACATGTATCAGGCTTGACAAATACCATTAATTCAGCCTTACTATAGAGTTTTTAAAAAGTTCTTATGAGTAAACATTGATGATTAGTGCACTAATCTATGTCATAAAAAGGTTATTAGTTATTAGTAAACAAGTTATCTGATTAATAAAATGCTTGGTTACGTAAACCACTTCTTTCTTATTTGAATTTCCTTTTTTTCTCTCAAATAACTGATGTTTTGATTTCTCTAAACTGAACTGGATTTTTCTCTTTAAATGGAATTTGTATTTCACACCTTAGTAACCTCTTCATTATTTCATTAGCCAAAATGCACATGTATCAACTCTCACATCATAAATGGAAACAGTTTTCTTTTCCATATTTTAACAAACTCCTTTATCATAATGAAGAAATGACTTATTCAGTGCTTGGTGCTGACATCAGCATTACAACAGTGCACAAGAATGTAACAATTGAAAAAGCCACGAGACAAAGCCTGTCAAGGACAGCTGCAGCAAATTTCCAGTCGTTGCTCACTAATTTATCCTTGTCCTGGTCATAAAACTGTCTTGCGATGTAACGAACCTCTTCCAGAATCTTGACCAGCTCCGGTTCCTTTCCTTGTGCCTTCTCTCCTCCATTTAGAAGGAGCATTGCATCTTCGCATTTTCCTTTTTTCTCTCCACTGGAGTCAGCAGGCGTGGCAGGTGTAGAAATGGGAATATTGAGTTCCATGCTGCTCATACTTCCCCGTTGAGCCTTGTCGCCAGGAGACTGTCTTCGACCTTCACCTGGAAGCTTCATGCACAGGAATCTGGGACAAAAGTCCAGCAGGAGGACACGGATCTTTCCGATCCAAAACATTGATTACAGATTACTAAACAAGACTCTCATCAACCGTGCATATGCTTAACTTTTAGCTAAAAAATGTCATAAAATAAACGTAACCAACTTTTTCTGCAGAGCTGCTTTTATATCTGGTTAACTAAATACATTTTTGATGGATTGTTTTCCATGCTCTGAGTGACTTACTTAATTAATTATTAATTATTCATTAATTTGAGTAATTAGAGGTTTGTGAGATTAGATGCTTAACATTTAGATGTAATATCGGACAAGTATAAGTATAACAAACTGCTCTAATTCACTTACAAAGTGAGTCCAAACTTGTTTACCAATAAAATTATTTTGGATGGTCTGGTAGCTATATTAGCCTAAATTATTTGAATTGAACTGGGTGATAATGTTTTATAATGTAGGTAAACATGACAGGAAAGTTGCATCACATAAAACCTACCCATTTTGGCATTGAACATCCTCTCGGGTCATGATGATGAAAATGTAAAACCACAACTGTTGCAGCCACTGAGAGCGCAACAATGACCAAGATGACAGCAAAGTACTGAGCTGTTTTAAAGACAACAGAGGAGACACTGAGATATAGAACATTCAGTCTCTGAATGCAGCGAAATACACCAGAAAACTAAACAGTACATTTTGCAGCTCTGCGCTCTTTGTGTAGTAGACATGTAGTAGTAGAGTGCAGTAACTGCTTACCGATCAAGGGCACGGTGTCAGAGGACGCAGGTATGACCTGTGCAATAAGGAGCATGAAGACAACCATGGAGAGCAGGACAGTGATGCCTGGAGAACAGTCAAAAAGTCAGAAAGTCAGAAACAGGAACACAGTAGTTGGAACAGGAACAGTACTGTTAAAGTAAGTTCTGAAATCAAGTCCATTCATGCTGTAACCAATACATTTCTGTTTTCAGGTTGAGAACCATTGGACTGGATTTCTGTGTAGTGAATTTATTTTTCTAGATTTCAATACTTGTTTTCTCAAACTGCTTTGTGTGTGTGCCTGTCTGTGGTGTCTGTTTCCTGTGTGCATCTCAATTGCAGCCGTTTTCTCTTCCTCAGTTCCATCTGAAGGAATGCACACATGCACTAGCACAGCTGCTCTGAGCCCTCCTGTTTGAATGCATGAATACAGCTGTAACACAGAGCTCTAAAGATTCACAGGAGGCACAAGCTGCATAATTTTACAGGCCGGCTCTCTCCATTTCCTTTACACTGTAAAATATGTATGTTGCACATAACACTCTCGCTGTGACAGTTGAAAAGTGCGCAACCTTTTTTCCCTCTTGTCTTGTCTGACAGTCAGTTCATCAGTGTATGTCACAGAGCCCGTCTGACAGCACAAGTGTAAAGACGTGGACACAGTCTAAGAAGAACAGCAGGAAGAAATGCTGTCTGAGGAAACCACTGCAGGTCACAGAGGTGGACAAAAGCTGTCAGACTAATTCATTCCCAAGTGGGAAAAGTACAGATGTGCTGAGCTCATATCTAAATCCCACAGTGTATGTTTGCTTAGAGACCTCTTAGTGAAGAAAGTTTTTTAGTGCTATCAGAGGATTATGTAAGGTTGTTACAATGACCGTTTGGTGTCAGGTGTCAAAACATCAGGAACACATTTAGTTATGCAGTTGTGTTTTTTCAACAACCAAACTCAGCTCCAGGTCTTTGATGTCCTTGGATTTGTTTTAAAGATGTGTGATCCCTAAAGGGAATTAATAGGAAAAGAGCCAAACACAACACTCATGTCAAACTGATTAATCCCAGCAGTAACTAAGAAAGGGTGGGATACACTGTAGTGTAGACCAGGGTTTGCCAAGGACCCGTTTACAAACCCACAGACAATGCTACAAAATATGTAAAGAAACATCAGCTTTTCTTACCTTCATTTACTATTTAATCATTATTACATTTGTTCAGCAAAAGAAAATTATTATCGAACAATCTTGATTACAGGCACAAAGCGCCAGGTCTACACAGATTATGACTGATTATGCTGCAGCTGCCACACCAGGTGGATTCAAACATTAGAAACTTGAGAGTCCAACTGTTACATTAATAAAAATAAAAATAAAATTCGTATCTTCCCTCCAATATTCTGAGGCACTCCTAGCGCCCCCTGGCACCTCCCACGTGTAGACAGTACCATCACAGGTCACACTCATACCTATTGACCAGTGTCTTTCTAAACTAACCTGTGTTTAAACCCTGAGCCTCAAAGAGAACACACCAAATCCCATTAGGCAAGAAGGTCAGTTACACTCTGGGGGTCAAATCGGTGATCTTTTTGCTGTGAGGCAACAGCACTAACCACCTACCTACACTTGTGGCCCATGACAACAAAACAGACTGACTCAAGAAGATTTCAGCTTTCTTATCTGTAATCTGTGAGATCTTACCCAGTGTGATCTTCTCCCCAGAGTCAGGAGGCAGGAGAAAGACCATGACGGCCATGATGGAGATCAGGATACAGGGCAGGAGAAAATAAAAGGCATAGAAAGAGGTCCGTCGTTGCATCACCAGAGTGAAAGTGACATCAACATAAGGTTCTGGACAGCACTCATAGACAGTTACACTTCTCTTCCCTTTCACATCTGTGGAGCCAAACAAAAATAACGCTGTATTTCGGTGTCAATGCCTCCAAAGACAACTGTATTTTTTTTCGGTGGTGCTTCTTACCGACAAGATGCCACTCTCCATTGTCAGTGTAGAGGGTGGTGTCTATGGTACCCATCTTCAAGTCCACCATGTGGCCATCGTATGTCCACGAGCCAAACTTCAGCTCACACTTTTGGACGTCAAAAGGGAACCAGCGCATATTCACGGAGCAAATACTCTTGAAGATCCCTGATGTGGGTTGAACCATCACCAAGCATTAATGTGTTCAGCTTTATTCAGGTTTTGGAGGAGGTCCAGTGCACAGTGTGCTGAGTTTCAAGACAAGCTTATTTCTGATGTGTAGATAATGTGACCAGTACACACTATTATATATATATATTTGTAAATATATTCGTGTAACGCTGATGTTATCTATAGATGTGCATTTGAATAAGGGCTGACTGTAAATAATTCATCATGTGTTTCAAACACATCAGCAGTCTGATGTGTCCAAATGCTTTCTTAAATGCTGTAGCAACAACAAATATGATTCCCTTTTTTCTAACAGTGTCATTGAGTGCAGTTAAACACTTACTGCTAGGTAAAGTAATTTTGATGCTGATAAATAAAAATCACTTGATTTTTTATGATGGTAACAAACAGCCTAATTAATAGAGCGGCCCACCCCCGAACCACCCATATTACCAGTGATGTATGTGTGGAAGTGGGGGAAAACACTGTGATGAGAGCCAGTAAAACTGTCCTTAGGTCTTCAGCGCTCACCATCTGGTTTCACTACACCAACAGCTTGTCTCCAAAGACACCGGATGTTGCTCCAGCAGCTCATGTATCACTGCTTTTCCCAAATGAAAGATAAAGCCAATGGTGCACGTCCAGGAAAGGTCGATGTCCATTTGTCAGGAGAAAGGCCTAACAGTTTCCAGATGTGTGCACATCCAGTGTGAATGTTTGTCTCATTTGCTGGTTCACACATATATAAATGTAGCTGTCTTCTATAACAGCTCAGTGTATGTATTTTTTCTCCCAGGACTGGGCGTTGGCCATTTTGTAATATAAAATAATTACCAGGAGAAATTGTCGTCAACCATAAACTACATTAAGGCTCATGTTTTTTGTGTTTTTGTATTGTGTATGAAGTTGTTTTGACAAAAATGTTTGTAACTTCATTTCATTTTTGTTTTTCTCACGAAAGATAAGTTCATTGTTGTTTCTGTTGCAGTTATAACAGATACAATTATCTCACTAGTTGCACATCTGCTCTGAATATTACCTCCGTACAGAGGGATTTAAAACACAGATCATTTTCCCACTGGAAATCGTTTTTACTTTTCACACAGTTTCTGCAGATGTGCAAATCACTTGAGAGTAAAAATTAATAAAGTTTCAAACCTGCATATTACAGAATTCTTTTTGTGTTTGTTTGAAAGTGGCGTGACACAGCTATGTGCCCCCTCTAGGCCCCACCTCCCAGATGGGAACCACTGCACTACAGTTTCAGGAGTCTTCCAGCAGCCAGATCTCTTAAGCTAAAACATCTATAAGTAGTGTTACCCACTAACAGTCATTGTTTTTGAATCATTTAAAGATGTACATCTTTAAATGATTCAAAAACAATGACTCAATCCAAGTTTCATCAAATAAGTAACCCTTACGTTTTTAAGAGTATTGACCTGAAAAGCACATCTGGGAATCTTACCTGGAGGAATATAAGTACAGTTACCAGAGGGGGCGACTAGGATGTTGGTATGGAACGTTGGATCAAACCTTTCATCAGCACTGGAAGACACATGGAGAGGCATCATTTTGATTTCCCAGTCATTTCTCAGTCAGAAGTCAACTAAGGTGAATGGAGGTGCTCTTAGGCCACTGAACTGCAGTATGTTGTGATACATGTCTCTCACGGTTGGTGCTACAACCAATGCCCACCTGTTGTAAAGAAGAATGTCTGGCGACCAAACTTGACTATGACGAAACCTCATATTGGTAACACCTGGATAGTTTTCTACATCCCACTTGAGGTTATTGTCTTTCCATTCCTGGGGTACAAATACACTTCATCATTAAGGAATTTTTTTATCCTTATCAGCCTCACAAATGAAGGAGTGAGTAATATTTTTGTTGTGATTCCTAAACTTTCTCCAAAAGAAAATTCTCACCATTGGCAGCCAAACATTGGCCGTTAAAATCTGGTTCTTCTCATTCTGTTGGAAAAAAAGGGTTTTTTATATTGTGTGAAAATCAAATATTGTAGTATACATTTCACTGTAGAAAGAGGTTTGTCTCACCACATCCATGATCTGCATCAGAGTGAGGCCGACTGTAACGGTGAGCTTGTCTGTTTCATTAGCGACTGGTCTGGACAGTGAGTTGTAATCACGCAGCAGGTCTTCGAAAAGTCTGGCTTCATTCGGTCCCTGGTGGGAAACTGGAGGATAAAGACAACAGTGTGAGTATTCACATCACAAATACCTGCCAGTAAAACTATATTTCAATACATATTATCATTAATATTAGTCACTTCCACAACAGCCTTGTGTGGTTAATTGTAATACCTACTGAGAAAAATTTTAATTTGTTATAAAGATTTTGTTTTTGCTAATATACTTTCACGGTCTTTTTCTTTTGTCTCCTCCTTATTTAGACACAGTAAACATTTGATGTTATTGTTTTCTTAACTCCACTGCCACGCCCGCTTTCAACATAAGTCCTGTACTTTGACTTTGTTTTTTGATTTTGTGGACATTTTTAAAATAAACCAAAAAGAACACCGCATGTTGTTTCAGCGAGCTGCGGTTTACAAAGATGTTTTGCTGGGGTTTTTTTCTCTTTTCTGAGCACAGAAAGCAGAAGGCTAACATATTCACTCATAGCCATAGAAACAGTTACAACAATGTGTGAAAGGCACAAGACCAGTGTTGCTGCAGGAACCCAGTACACAGAAACTTTTGTTTAAAGTTTTCTATTTTTGATGATGCTAAATAATTCATGGTGACAATTTGGACGTGAGTCTCTAATTCATGACACTTTGCATGGCAACTGCGGTCAGTATAGTGGATAAGTCTGACAGACTGACCATTCAGTCCTCATCAACACACGGTATTAACGTTTGTCCTGGGCCATCGGACAACATGTGGACAGCTGTCAGTGTACAATGGTCCCAGTCTTTAGATTCATCCTCAAAAATCCATACAAAATAGTTTGAGGTCCACATTCCAGAGTACACATAAAAGTACTGTGTTAACTCTATCCTCTGACCTACAGCGGTGATACTGCACTATCATACAGCTGCCACTACAGTAATGTAGTAATGGTTCAATTCTCATCAGGGGTGATTTTTTTAACTGCGATCCATCTTGGGCTCTAAAATATTTTAATGAAGTAAATATTTTAATTAGACGTCTGTTAGTAGTGTCTGAAGCTTTGGTTTCTTCACTCTACATGATCAATTTAGTGAATAATACTGAAAAAACAACAACATGAGGTTGATCCAACCTGATACCCAACATTTTCTACATTATTTTCCCATAACGTCCGTATTTGCAGAGTACATTTTTTTCGAGATCTGAGGAGAAATGAGAGAACTTCCTCTGTGAGTGACTGAGATTAGAAACAGATGTGGAAAACTGACCAGCCTGAGAGCTTTGAACAAAACAAACTTAAGTGTTATTCAGAGTAATGCAGTGTGTGATGTGTAACCGGTAATTCTGAAGGACAGAATAAAACAGGTTTTATGTTTTCAGCAGACACAGAAAGATAGCTGCAGAAATGTCACCTTTTGTGTTTTCTTGGCTGCTATATAGAGCATTGCTGTGAAGTATGTGTCTCTGACAGTAGCACTGATGTACAATCCATAGAAACAGATGCAAAGCAGATGATCTGTAGACTAGAACAGCTTGAGTGAGATGACAGAGCGTTAATAAAAGTGGTGTTTCCTACCTTTAACCAAGCAGACGGTAACAGCAAAGAAAAGGACCAAGTGTAGCTCCATGATGGACTGTAGGATGTGACAGAATTAAACAAGTCTCTCTGCACTCCAACTCACTTATGTAGTGAACTCAGTTTGCCATTTGTAACACTCAAACCCACTCACCCTGATTATAGTCTGGGGTGGAACTATAGCTTCCTATTGTGGGATGTGCCTCAACCCATGGGGTGGTCAAATATCTGGAAGTGTTTTTGTAACCTTCAAATTACAGAGGAGATGAGAAAATAAACACAAAACGTGAAGAAACTCTTTCTTGATTTTATGAGTGTTTGGAATTAATTATGCACCAATTAGTAAGGACTTACAATATTCGTTTTTCTTACTTATTAAACCTGTGACAGCCTAAATTGTAACAGAAAACATTCCCAACTTGCAGAAAAAAGAGTAATTTTCACAAAGTGAAGTCTTTACTGTTCTGTTGTTATGCTGTACTAAATGGAGAAGTACTAAAGAAAGGTGTGCATGCTGATGGTTTACATAACAGGATGGTGTTTGGTACACGTGGCACTAACTGTTATGCTTGGAGATAGAGACAGGTCACAGAACCGGCCTGAACCAGTTTCTCTGCCTGAATAATGAGGAAAACAGGAAAAGAATCCAAACTGTCAAAGTTTTTTCTTTTTTCTTTTTAATCATCTGGGCAAGATGAACAAAAAAACCTAACGTTTCTAGGCCCTGGACCTAGTCTAGGGACTGACAGTGTACACTTGCGTAACATTTCTAGGTGTTTTTTTATTAACGATAATTTGTATATATTGTAATTTTGTTCACATGATTCACATTCCAGTCCAGCAGGTGGGGGTAAATCCTCTTCAAGCTAGTGGCCAACAGCCTAGGGAACATCAACAATAGCAGAATAAGAAGCGTTTAAAGATGTCGGCTGAGCCTTTCTGTTTCTATAACGCACTTTAAACGATCAGTCTGTGTGTGTTTATGTGTGGCGGGAGGCGGCTTTAGTAACAAGAGCTGCAGAAAACTGGAGAAAGGAGGAATCACCGACTGCTGTCTGCGGAGATAAAGAAGTCTGAAGTAAAGAGACAAGAGTGGAAAATTACCATCAGAATACTTGCCCAAGACCCATAAAAATAAAAGACAACTAGATACGTTAGAAAACCGGAAGTGTCCCAGTG